ATGACAACACTGGACCACAAAGTGGTCAAACACTAGTCAATGGTTATTTTAAGTCCCTCAAGGCGTGGAACTCCCGTGGTGGTACTTACAAAACATAATTGCTTATAAGGTCATAATCAAATATTCTTTAAAATATAAACAAACATATTCGTGGGTTTCCTTTTAAGCAAATAGGGTTCAGAAAATAATCCACGTAACTGAAACCTTTATAAAACATAACTTTTATTAATATACTAATAAAACATAACTAGTATAAAATAAATTTTGGTAAGTCAAAACATCAGTAAAATACATTTTGGTAACCCAAAGTATAATATAACCCACATTAAATTAATTTCTTTATTCCTTCTTTCCACTACTCACGATCTTCACCCGCCCCTTTCTCTTTTCTACTCTCTATTTTCGTTGCCTTAAACCTATCCTTCTTCCCTATTTATAGGATGAAGATCGTGGGTGACAAGTATATGGAAGGTTCTGTATTTTGAAGCGTGGAGATCAAATCTTGCTGATCACTTCAGTTGATCACTCCAGTCCACCACCTTTATCTTATTTATTTATTAATTTGTTTTTATCTCTTTGACCATTGACTACTCTTAAAACTTAGAACTATTTTGACCATTTTACTAATTTTAAACATTATTATCTTCCTTGGTAATTCATGATGACACCTAAAATTATATATGACTATAAGTTAGGTTCATGTCTAAAAACTTTACGACACAACTTCACTTACCACTTACTAAAATATTTAAGGTGTAGTTTTTTTCACAACGTATTTATTTTTATTTTTTTTTTCTTTTAACCATAAAATTCCCAATTTCCTAAATTATGCCTTTACTTATTATAACATGTCTTAGTTTACCATGCCATAAATTTGAAGACTCAAGCAAGTAAGAAGAAGATGTATTTTTATTAATACCAGAGGGTACAACAGTCATTACATTTATCTTGAAAAGACCATCAGACATGTAACATTTCCCTACATACATCCCGTTTTTGGTAAGTACAAATTTGCCACTTTCAAAAATTAACTTAAACCCATTTTTACTCAATAGAAATCCAGAGACTAGATTCTTGCTAATGTCCGGTACATGTATTACATTGTTGAAAGTGAGTTCCTTTCCAGATGTCATTTTCAGAATAATCTTTCCTTATCCTTCAACTTTAGAAGTCAAGGAGTTGCCCATAAAAAGTTGTTCACTGTTGTCCATTACAAAATAAGATGTGAACATCTTTTTGTCGGCATAAATGTAGCGAGTAGCACTAGTGTCCACCCACCATTCTTTAGGGTTTCCGACAAGGTTTACCTCGAAAACAACTGCAGAAATATTTATGTCCTTAACACCATTGGAAATTTTTTCTACTTTGGTCATATTGGCTTGGGTAGGCTTCTTGCTTGATCTTCCTTTGCCTTTGCATTTGCTGTGACAATCTTTGACCCGATGTCCCTCTTTGTCATAGATGTAACACCTACCATTGAACTTGTACTTTTTAGTTTCCTCTCCTTTAGAGCCTTGTGCAGAACTTTCTCCAGAAAAATTTCGTTTATTTGCTTTTGGAGCATGTTCCATCACATTTGCCTTAGACTCCATGGGATGCTTACCAGCCCGCTTCTCAGAATTGCGGTTGTCCTCCTCAATCCTCAACGCACAATCAATTCCTCTAAAGTCATTTATTTGCGCTTGTATTTGCGGCAGTTCTTGAATTCCTTCCAGCCTTGTGGTAATTTTTTAATTAAAACAAAAACTTGGAAGGATTTACTAAGAGACATGCCTTCTGCATGAATGTCATGCAGAATGAGTTGGAGATCTTGAACTTGGCTGATCATAGTCTTAGAATCAACCATCACAAAGTCCAGAAATTTGCCTACTATGAATGTCTTCGAGCCAGGATCTTCTGTCTTGTATTTTTTCTCCAAAGACTTCCAAAGTTCTTTTGCCATCTTGATAGGACTGTAGATGTTGTATAATGTGTTGTCAAGTTCGTTCAAGATGTAGTTCCGACAAAGGAAATCAGTATGTTTCTAGGCATCGACAACAATAATCACTTGCCGGTCGGTTTCATCCTCTTTTAGAGTAGGAGCATTTTCACGGAGGAAATGTGCCAGATTGAGAGTAGTAAGATAGAACAGTATTTTCTGTTGCCATCTCTTAAAATCAGTTCCTAAGAATTTTTTTGGCTTTCCACTGTGATTGACTGGCACAGTCATAACAGGAGAGGGGGTTGGAGCAATTGCAACCACTATACCAGTACTAGTTTGAGCATTAGATTTAGTAGCCATGAATTCTAAATTATAAAACAAAATTATAATAACATTTTATACTACACAGAAAATTAAACCAAAATCACAGAATTAAATTCTGTAAAAAGAAAAGAAATAAGAATTGTAACTTTTATTTCTAATTAATTTGAAAATAAAATAAAAGTTTATTTAAACAAATTAATTCCACACAGAAAAATATTTCTGTAACACTTCAAAAATTAAAATACTGAAAACAAAATTTTAATTAATGAAAACTCAGAAATTATTTCTGAAAATCAAAATTAATTTCTGACCAATTTCACAAATAAATATTATGAGTTGTTAATAACTACCAATATATTACTACTAGTTGTCAAAGAAAATAAACAATATATTACTACTATTTATTTTTCCAACCATAATATTATTTTGTAAAATCAAAGAAAATAATTTCTGTAAGAAGAAGAAAAAAAGAAAGGAAACAAATGAAAAATTCTATTTAAACAGAATAATTCGAATCTATCTTAAAATTGTTGGAACAATCTTCTGTGTAAAATAAATAACTTGAAACAAATCTAACAAACAAATATAAATTACTTATAGAATTGATTTTACTGAAATGAATAAGTACAAAAATAGATCAAGTCGAGTGTGTGATACTCTGCCCTTAAGGTAGATTCGTCCTCGTTTCGGTGCTTACAGATTAAATAACGTCTATTTCCCAAGATACAATGATCTTTCACAGATTGTAGTAGCACTCCAAAAAATCTGTACGGCGCACAAAACCTGTGTTCTATACTTTCAAATATTTCTCTTAAAAATATTATGAAGAATAGATAATACAAAAGAGCAAAAACGGGAAGCAAGATAAATTTTTTGGATGTTAGAAATGCTAGAAAAGGTTTGCTCTTATAGACAGATTGGTGACTATTCAAATCTGTCCGAATATGTATGAAATTGAATAAACAAATCTATTTTTTTAAATAAATAGGTATGGTTCAAACTGAACATGTATGGTTTGAAATTGAACTTGTTTGATGCACTTTTTGAATCTGTCCGCTGGACTGTTTGAACCTGGACCCAAAGGGCACTGTTTTGGACAGAAAATTGAATTCAAATTTGGCGCAAAATTTGAATTAATTTCATTTAGGAAAATTAATTTTTCGGGAAGAATTTTTGATAAAAATTCAAGTAAATTTTGTCTAAAAAATTAATATTAGAACTGATCTGACCCACACCCGCGTCCGGCACAGCCGGCCGATCAGACGAACGGCAGCGGCGCGCGCGTGTGGTGGTTTGAGCTAAAGGTCACTTTGTCCATAACTTCTCATTTCTACAAACTTGGGGTGCCCCTTGGGGCCCAACCTAAGTGTTGCCACCTAGAGTTTATATATATGCACAAGCCCTCTTAAAGTTTCAATGTAGGATAAGCCTTATAAGGAAACCCACATTTTGTTATTTAATTATCCATTTCATGAACCCAAAAATGACGTCAACTTCCCATTCACTCATAAATGATTTTGACGAACCGTTTGCATCGTGTGACTTGCCATGTAGTAAAGGACACGTCACCTCTTTGGACCCACCCCAAAAGACGTTTGGGACCCACTCAAATTTGGACTCAAAGTTGGCCCATAATAAGCCTATAAAACCATAAATTCCAACATAGTAATGGTTTGGGGTGAGGGGTGGGATGAGAGGAGTTTGCGGCAATAGTTTTGGGCAAAAGCTGTGGTCAGTGGTTAAGGCCCTGTTTGGTACAGCTTAATTTCAGCTTATTTCAGCTTTCAGCTTAATTTAAGCTATTTTAATGTGTTTGGTTTAGCTTATAACTTATAGCTTATAGCTTTGTGGAAGTCAGAAAACAGCTTATTCTATGAGTGGGGCAGGAGATGCTTTAAGAATAAGCTCGAAATCAGCTTAAGCTGAAAGTTATAAGCTATAAGCTGTTTAGGCATAAGGTATAAGCACTTTCCTACAGCTCTATCAAACGGGGCCTAAGAGAAAGATAGAGAAAGAAGAGAGAAGAAAGAGGAAGATTGAAGAAAGATATACAAGAAAGAGACATAGAAACTATTTTGGTAAGGGAAAATGAGTGAGATTTCATTTTTGGAGGACTCCACGACTCCCAAAATGATCCACACCGCTTATAATGTGTGGGGCTCACATCATGAGTGGTGTAGATTACTTTGAAGGTTGTTGAGGTCTTCCAAAAAGGGATCTCTATCATTGTTGTTTGGTAAGTGCAATATATTTATAATAATAATAATAATAATAATAATAATAATATTTTCCTACTTTTTGTAAATATTAAATATTATTGCCAAATCTCTGTCTCTCCCTCTCTAAAAAAAAAATCTCCCAATTGAAAATTACTTTGATAAAATAGGAGTAATATTCACCTTATTTAGTTCTAACTTTTGGAATTTAATTTTTTGTATTTTTTTTTTGTTTTTAGTAAATATTTTTAATATTTTAAATAATTTTTTTACTTTTAAAATGTATCTAGATATACTTAAAAAGTAAAATATTTGTAAAATAATAATAAATATACAAGAATATGAAAATATATTGAATTTTATATTTTTGGTATTTACTAATTTTTTTTTTATATTTTTTAATTGTATTTAAAAAGTAAAATTTAAAAAAATATGAAAAGAAATTATTAAAAATAAAAAAATATGAAAAATAAAAAATTTAATTTTCGATCGAGAAGTATCCATATAAATATAGAAAGTAGTCGGTCCCTTATTTTCCTCCCCCGCTGTTGTTTGTTGAGTTGAGGTCTGGAGTGGAGGACAGACCCATTGCCATTCTGTGGAAGGAGGGAGGGGGAGGGGGAGAGAGAGAGAGAGAGAGAGAGAGAGAGAGTTTGAGACAAAGTTTGAGAGAGACCCAGAACAAGTTACATAGATCTGCTTTTCTCTTATCCCCACACCCCAATTCGCTTCCTTCCTCAGGTAAATTCCCCTCTGTTTTTGTGTGTGTGTGTGTGTGTATACGTATCTATGCATGCATTTTCTTTTGCATCCGTGTTGTTAGAATTCGAAAAACCCTAGATACATTTGGATCTGTGTTTTGACGTCGATTAATTGGTGAATTTTGTGTACCTCATGTTAGATCTGTGTGCCGGTGAATGCCAATGTTTGAAGGATTGATCGATGCTCCATTTTGTTTACAATAAATTCGTTATTCGTTTCATGTTCAAGTTTGACAAATCTTTTGATTCTTCGAGACTGAATTCTCCTTTGTTCTGCTTCTCTTCATCTTTACATTCACTAGATCGGATTGATTCATAATTACGTATGCAGATCTGGATCTTGTTTCATCTTAGTCTGTTGGGATCTCATTCCTTGTTTGTTCCAACATTTGACCTCTTGCTATGTGAATTCGTTAAAGACTTTGTACTCTAATGATGATTTTTCTTTTTAATTCGGTAAATATTATTTGAAACATAGATCTGATTAATGGGGATGGTTTTTAGATCATACGGGGTTTATAGATCTTTTCTTTCCTTTTATGCTGTGTGTTTGGTTAATGGATTATGGATTTATGGATTTGGGAAGGGAAAGGAAAATGTGTGGGAACCAAATCTCTACTTTTTTTTCATTTACTTTCACCTATCTTTTCTATTTTCCTTTCTAAATTCTTATCCAAATTCATGAACCAAACACAACATTAACTCTTTTTTTTAATTTTTTTTTTGTTTTTTTTTACTATTAGGGAAATTCCTTTTTATTGTTTTGCTTTTTGTTTAATATAAATAATTTTTGCTTTATTTGTTCTAGTGTGTCCTGTTATCGCAAGTTTGTTGTGGAGGTAAATCTTTTGGCTCTATCTAATTCAATTAAGCTATCATCTTAAAGTGCTGAAGAGTTTTGGTGGGTTTTATATGACTCTCTGTCCACCCTCTAAAAGAAACAATTTAAGCTTGCATTGCAAGAATACTGCTTGCATTTTCCGGTTGAAACTTATGAGTATGGCAATTCATGTAAATACTTAGGTTCATAGTGAATTATGGTTTGATTTTGTTTTGTTGGAGTTTTACAGACACAAAGATGGGGCTGTCTTTCACCAAGCTTTTCAGTCGGCTGTTTGCGAAGAAAGAGATGCGCATATTGATGGTGGGTCTTGATGCAGCTGGTAAGACGACCATTCTTTACAAGCTTAAGCTGGGAGAGATAGTCACTACAATTCCTACTATTGGTAAGTTTAAGGAAGTTTAATTTATTTCTTGCTATTTGTTTGTTTTGTTGTATGTAGCACCACAAAATCCTGATGCGAGTTTTCTTATGTAGAAGTTGATTTTGAACACATTGACTCTTGGTATTACTGAAGATCTTAAGTAGCATTATTGTTTTCCTCTTTTATGTTTCATACTCTTATAGATTGTAGTAACACAAGCTTTGGACTCTTAATTGTTTGGAAAATAACATTGGATGGAACAGTTTCTTTTTTCAACTGAATGTTTTGGTCTAAAATTTAAAACATTCATTTTGGAGAAGATGCATCATTTGCAGTTCGTTGATTATGGTATCGTCAAAGGTTGCCATAGCCAATTGTATTGTTAAGTGAGATGTTTTATGTCAGTCTTTTCCATTCAAGTGGCATCCTTCTTCCTTTGTAAAAGTTTTTTGCAGTGGACTAATTCTTCTTTGCATTGGGACTGATTTGTTATTTGGTCAGGATTTAATGTGGAGACTGTGGAGTATAAGAACATTAGCTTTACTGTTTGGGATGTTGGTGGCCAGGACAAGGTATGTAGGCTAGTGCTGATTGTGAAACACTGTCATTGTTGCAACCTAGATGACAATAAATGGCATAGTGCATTGCCTTCAGTTCCCTAAATGATATTCTAGTAAAATTTTTGTTCCTTTCTGCTCATCTTTTTGTTGTACTTGCTATAGATTCATACGCTTTGAATGAAGGTGAAACCACTACTCTTGACTCGCATTATTTCATGATTAAGCATCTTGTATATGGAATTCAATCTGAAGTTAATAGCAATGCATGTTGTCCAATCAACTGCATAGATGACCATCTAGGATTTTTGTTTCTCCAGATCCGACCTTTGTGGAGACATTACTTCCAAAATACGCAAGGACTTATCTTTGTGGTTGATAGTAACGACCGAGATCGTGTGGTTGAAGCGAGGGATGAGCTGCACAGAATGTTGAATGAGGTAAGAAATTATAATTTCATCAGTTGGAACAATGGTATTGTCCTGTGAGATTGTCTCACATTTAGGAATGCATGCTCTCTGTCATTTGGTAATTAGAATTCATTGGCCGTTGCAGGATGAATTGAGGGATGCTGTGCTGCTGGTATTTGCAAACAAGCAAGATCTTCCAAATGCAATGAATGCTGCTGAGATAACTGATAAGCTTGGCCTTCACTCCCTCCGCCAACGCCACTGGTAAAATAAATTGTTCTCTCTCTCTCTCTCTTACACACACACACACAAACACAAACACACACAGCTTGTGCAAATGCATGCACATGATCATAGATGGTGGACGTAGCTAAATTCAGTCAGAATCTCATTATGCATTGGATGCTGCAGGTACATCCAGAGCACTTGTGCCACTTCTGGCGAAGGGCTGTATGAAGGACTGGACTGGCTTTCAAACAACATTGCAAATAAGGTGAACTCATACAACTGATTCACACTATTGTTTGCAGATATGAGTTCTGCAATTTTCTCCTATCATCTTCCCCTTATACTATTTGTATAATCGTATTTGCAGGCATAGACAGCAGGATGCTGAGTTTGGATTCCAACTAGTGCCCGGATAGAGTTTAACATTTCTTTGGTGTTTGGATTTTCAACTTTTTAATTTGATACCTACCTTGAAATTTGAGATTGTTTCTGTTGCAGATATTGCCATTTGTTTCATGTAGTTTCAAAATAATTCATAAATTTTTATTCATCCTCATCTATATCTTGTTTATTTGAGATTGTTTGGATTTGAGGTTAGATTTTATAGAATTATAGAAAAAGTTAGGTATTAATATGATTTAATAAATTTAAAATTGATGATTGAATAGAGGTAGGACAGATATTTTGTTGAATTGTATTTATTATTGGTTGGTATGATATATATTTTATCAATATCTATATGCAAGTACAATCTTAAATGGAAGGAATTAAATTAACAATTTTTGCATGCTATTTTTAAAATCCATTAATATAGAGCTATCTAATTCATTCTTACAATTTAAATCTAAAACATTATATGGAATTGAAGTTTATACTTGTTAATTTTATTATTATTTATTTTTTGGCAATATAAAGGACTTGCTAAATTAAATGTCAAATTCATAAATTTAAATGTAACCCGAATTTAGAAGTATGGCAGACTATTATTGTGTTTGTGTGTACCCATTTATCCGCAGATGGTCAAGTTTCTGGGAGGGGGATCTGTATAGCCCATATATACTTCAAAATTTTTGTAGTGATGATAAATTGATGAATTATTTGGATTTCTCCCATATATATGACAAAAGATTATCAACTGAGTATTAATGAACATCCAAAAGCTTAATTTGCTTCATAATGGAAATACAAATCCAGCACAAAGATAGCAATCATTTCAAATAATTATAACAACGCAGAAGCTGCTACAGGAACCAAAGTTCATGCAATTGAGTCTGCTGATATACACATCAGATTCCTTGTTGGGCTTATATTATTTCTGCAATTGAAGCTAGCCTTTCGCTTTGGAAAGCTTTGCTTCGACAACCAGAACATGTAGAGTGAGCACCTATTCCTCGCTCAGGATAACATGTTTCTGCAAATCAAGAAACATTTGTGGCTATTAATATTTCTGCATAAGCCCATTTGTATACATGTGTGTGCGCATGCCTGCATAGAGTAAGGAGCCCGCACCTTTTAGACGAGAATCTGTATCGAAGATGTATTCTCTACTTGTTTCAGAAGTGAAAGCTCACTCAGCCAGACCAATTTATATGTATCCCTGGAGCGTAACACTCAAGTTCCTTTATAAATTTTGACAGATCAAACTGCTTCTCTTTCCTCTTTTTTGTTTTTTTGATCGGACATCTTCTCTCACCTCAATCCTTCTCTTTCTGTGGCCAATCCCAGCCACTCCCGGTTAATTCAATCAAAAAGAGGGCCACTGTACCCAACAATAAGTATCTTCTTCCAAGAAATTTTGTAGCAAAGCATTTGCAAGAGAAACTCGAAGATAGGCATCATAAGAGAGGGTGAATTTTCTCCGCCTCAACTTGAACAAATAGAATAGGAAAAGATAATTGAGTTCCCAGATGCCCAATTCTTATCCCATATATTTGACGGACAACAGCCTTCTAGCATTGAAGTCTGAACTTGACATTTCTGTTGAACCATCTTCACTTTTTGGAACTTGGATTGATGAACCGAAAGCAGCCATTTTATCTGATAAATTCTGAAGTGCTTCCTGCTTGTTAGCCAATTCCATGAGTACCTTGATCCTCCTATATGAAACATTGCTCGGTTTGTGCCCCTTCTCCACCATCTGCAAGAAGCACTTCTCTGCTTCCACTAACTTCCCCATATCACAAAGCAAATCAAACAACACATCGGATACCAAAATATAGGACCCAAAGCCCTTTTCCACCATGTCTTTCCAGAGAGCAAGGGCCATCTCAACCTTCTCCTGCCTCTTGAACAACCTGATTAGAAACATACAAGATTGTGTGTTTGGTAGGCACCCAGTTTTCTTCATCCTCTGATACAAACTCCATGAGCTTTTCAAATCATTTGACCAATAAAAACATCTAAAGAACAAATTGTAAGTAGTTGCATTTGGACTCAAACCTTTTCGCACCATCTCATCCACCAAATCGTATGCCTCACCAAGCCTCTTTGCAATGCAGAAGTTCCTAATTGTAGCGTTATATGCTGCTGCATCGGGATAACATCCATACTCCCTCATCTCCTTCAAAACGTCTCTAGCTTTATCAGGTTGACCAACCAACCCCAAACCCCCAATTATACTAGTGTATGATATCACATCAGGCAATATATCCTCTTCTCTCATCTTGTCAATTACCTTATAAGCTTTGTCAATTTCTCTACCTTTACAATGCACGTCAATCAAACAATTGTAAGACACAAGATCAGGTTTGACACCCATTTCCCTCATCTCTTCAAAGAACCCCTCAGCTTCCTCCGATGACTTCCAACCAGACAAAAGTATGTTAAAAGTCTGCAAATTTGGCGGAAACAAATGTTTCAAACTATGATACACATTTCTTGCATCAGTCATGCTCTTCTCTTGACACAAAGTTCTCAACAAGCCATTAAAACAATTGGTATCGAATTGGGGAACAAGCTTTCGGAACCTTTTAAATGATTCCACGGTCTGCCTAACCGAACAAAGCTTAGCAATTCTAGCTAAGACTACCTGAACAGTTCGTGGAGATATCAAAGATTGGTCTTTTCTCTTTATTTCAATCAAAACATCCCAAATTTGATCAAATTTCCTACTTCGGCCTAAGATATAGAGCATTGTATCCAATGAGAAAGAAGAGTGATAAAAGCCTCTTCGTCCAGCGGTGAAATTGAACAGCTCCAAAGCCTGTAATGCGTTCCCATGGCTAAATCTAACCCTTTTCAGAACCTTATCGATCAAATCGTTGGAAAGAAACACTCCGCTTGATTTCAACGACTGTTTCAAGTTGTTTGAAGACGAAGAGTTACTGATTATGCGGAATACAGTTTCGACGTCGTGGTCTAGAGCAGAGTTGTTTCCAGAACAGAAGGGTCGAGAGTAAGATGAAATAGGGTTCTGCAGAAAGAAACAGAGGAAGGTTGAAGGAACGTACCTTGTTGAAGATCGAAGAGAAAGGGGGTTAAGAACAGCCATTGTTGATTTTGCTTGCTTTCTTTCTTCCTTTTGAATTGGCGATCTATTCAGGTTGGAAATATACGGATTCTGAAAAGATAATTGCAACCCAGTAGCGATCGATGACTGATCAACAAAACCTAGAAGTTGATTTTCAAAGACGGAAATTCAAATGCAGCGCAACGAATCAACGATGGATGGAGCCCGATTAGGTTAGGGTTTTGCCATCACCCTGCACACGGCGTCGTTTTCTTCATCTCTCGCCTAAATAAACGGTACATGTAATTCTCCAATTCTTATTTGTTTTACTGTAATATTCCAATATTACTTGATTATTTTTAGTATTAGTATAAATATCACAAATTAATTTTCCCATTTTAGTATGTAAAAAAATTAAAAATTTTCACTTTGGCCTCATCTTTCTTTATAGTAGTCTTTCATCTCAAAAAAACAAGGCCAAAATACTTTTTGCTATTGATTTTCGGAAGTGGCTCAACTTTTTACCTGAGTAATTATTGCTATTGAGATTTTAACAAAATTGTTTTTTACTAATTCAAACTTGAAAAATTGACTTAATGATTTTTTTGAGTTTATACGAATAAATGTAAAAGAGTTGACATTTTTTTAATGATTTTTTTGGTTCAAATTGTGATTTCTCAAAATAGGCCTTAGTTATGATCTTTGTAATTTTTATTTTGATTATAATCAAATAGGCGTTTGGTTATACTTTAAGTGATATTTGGTTATAATCATTGGTTATGATTCATTGTGATGTCGATTATGACCTATTGTAATTACGATCGAAGAGATCTTTAATTAAATCTCAAGTAGTGTTTAGTTGTAACTTATTGTATTTATTTTAACGGCGATGATTCGTAGCTCGAATTCGAGGCTCGAATTTGGCTTGAATTCGTCGGAGTCGGAGTCGGAGTCGGAGGGAGGAGGAGGAGAAGGGGAATGTGGAAACCTATATTTATAGTTTGCGTTTGGAATCCAATCCTATTACAAATTGGATTTCAACATAGGAAAGGAAATTAGTGGATTTTTTTCTTTTAGTTGAGTTTTTAAAAATTGTTTGTTTTTCGTTTTTTTTAGAGAATTATATTTCGCCTCCTTTTACTTTGATCTTTAAATTTTTTTTTTGTGTGTTCATTTTGGTTCTACAGTTTTTTTTTTTTTTTTTTACTTTGACCCTTAGACTCCGTCTATTTTATGGGATTTAAGATTTGATTTTGTTTGGTTTGGTTAGACTCCATTTATTTCATCGTAAAATATTTTATACAAAAAAAAAATTTCTTGTAAATTAATTTTATACAAAAAAATTAAATAAACAGTGTTATATAAAAATATTATATTAAAATTTTAAAACTCAAAACTCAAAACCAAATCATGATTGTTTTATGCCTTTTTGATAACATTAAAAAAAGAGAATTTATTGACTTATTGATTTTTTTAAATCATATCACTTCTATATTTTTATGTACTTTTTTTCATAATAAATAAAAAAAAGTCAACTTTCAAACTTTTTTAAAAAATAAAAAATAAAATTAAACTGGTTTGACAAAATAAACACACACAAAATGTTTTTTTATTTTATTTTTAAAAAATATTTCTATCCCAAAAAAATAAAACTATCTATAAATAACTAGTGCTTTTTATTTTCATTTTTTTCGCCAAACAAATAGGTCTTCGGATGTTTTATGAAAGGGGGTCGTAATTCAGAATTTCATTATCAAAAGAGTTAAAGATAAATAGATTTTTTTCGCTATATATGCAAAAGCATATGTATGTACAATATAATATATGAACTATATATATACACATAAAAAAATTTAAATACTATAGAAGTAATCTCTAATAGGATAAATAAATTTTTTAAGTAGAAAATAAAAAGAGAACAAAAGATTGTAGAAGAATGTGATACACATCTTTTATATTGAGGGCCATTTTATTTATAAAATAAGATATACATATTCATATATACATTAAAAGTGTTAATGATAAATAATTTTTTTACAGAAATAGAGGGGCCATTCTTCTTCTAATTCCATCATTGGTGGAACGTAGAAGTGAAAAGGTCACGGAAATGGACAAAAAAAAATGGCAATAAAAATAAAGAGAAGGGGTAGAGAAGGGTGGCAAGAAAATAGTGGAAATTTTAAGAATGAATTTGAAGAATAGAGAGAGAAGGAGATAGGTTGGAATTTGGGTTTAGATTAAGAAATTTGGGTTTTGAACTTGAATTTTAAGTTTTGAGTTTTGAAAAATAAATTAGACAAAAATTGATCTAGGCCCAAATTGATAAATTACAATATATTTTAGGAAACAAAATATAGGTGATATCTTATGTCTCACATCAACCTAATTTATTTGAAACACAAATGGAATGTGATGGATTTACATGTTAGTAGTCGTTACATCAAGTTTATTGGCACAGTTTGAAAGAGAAACAGATCCATTTTTCATATCAAATATAAATAGTCCTAACGTAAATGAGATTTCATATTGAATGTGAAAGTTACATTCTCATGTATGTAGCCCAATTGCGCAATGAGACAATTACACACTCAAAACGTCCACCAATCGTTAGTTCTAAACTACAAAGTGCAATGTAAAAGTGCACACACTTATGAAGTCAATGTGACGTGATGTGAATATTGCCCATAATTCGGCCCAAATCCGTAATATGAGATGTCTTCTTGGCCTAAGACCGAGCTACACCTGCCCTTATCTCGGCCCATTGCGTGGCCCAACTTTCAAAGAAGACTCGTCCTAGCTCGGCCTAATTTGCTCACAAATTACCCTGAACATCCTAAACCACCCCAAAATATGACTTGGCGTTGGGATTTTTCATTAGCAGAAAGTACAACATAAAATGTTGTTCATCACATAGTTTCTATGTTACTGTAATGGTCATAGCACAACTTTTCTTCCACATTATGTGCTGTTATACAAACAGATTCATCACATCCGTGAAAAATAGCTAATTATCAAAAATTTTATATAGAGGGAAATTAGTAACTTACAAGAATAGAGAAAGAGAATTGGCGCTTAATTTTGTTCCATTTTTTGTGATACAAAACTCTTATCTGTTTCCTCTTCTTAATTATCTTCTTTCATAAGAGATTGTTGGAATAATCTTCTGTGTACAATAAAAAATTTCAAACCAAATCAAACAAAATAAAATAAATATCTTACAGAATTTATTTTTCCGAACCAAATGAATAATAAAAAGATCAAGTCGAGTGTGTGACACTCTGTCCTTAAGACAGATTCGCTCCGCTATGATGCTTACGGTTGAGTGGCGTCTATCTCCCAGGATACAATGATCTTCACAAAATTGTTGTAGCACACCAAACAAAATTGATCTGACCGTCAATCAGACAAGATCGTGGTTAAGGGTATCAAATTCATTGGTAATGTCAATTGGGACAGGATGCTAAGACGAAGCTGTGGTCCACCCACGTGTTGTTTTTTGTCATCAGTGATAATAGTCCGTCAGACTCCGTCCCTACACCTGACAAATATTTATTGGAGTTGGCGAGGGTAATCCTGAGACCTGGATTGTTGATCCTACCAGTCTGACCGTTTTCGAATGCTAAAGAAAATGAGATTCAAGCTTGTCGGGGCAAGGACAAAGAGTACGTTCGTCACGGGATAGAAGTTGTAGACCGGTTCTTCCCAGTTGATGTTTGGACGGGACTACAAAGATACGCTGTTGGGAAATGTTGAAGCATTCAAAAGGTGCCATATATTTAAGTGGCTGCTACTGTTAGTGGAAAGGAATGCAAAATTACTTTAAGGAGTCAAATTGTACTTTAAAACTGTTTAGAATTGTAATTTGATGTATTTTTATTTTTAATGTTCAGGTTAATGGAGGTGACGATATAAAAAACTGGGGTTGTTGAAGGGTGTTTCGGCAAGTGATTTCAGTTTGTATTGAACTTGCGTTGCCTAATTTATTTTCTCAATTGAGGTTAAAACCATCTCTCTTTTGGGTTAATAAGAGATCTGACCGTCAATCAGACAAGATCGTGGTTAAGGGTATCAAATTCATTGGTAATGTTCAATTGGGACAGGATGCTAAGGACGAAGCTGTGGTCCACCACGTGTTGTTTTTTGTCATCAGTGATAATAGTCCGTCAGACTCCGTCCCTACACCTGACAAGATATTTATTGGAGTTGGCGAGGGTA